AAATATCCTTAACAATGTCAAATGAAAAAAAATAATAATTTAAATTTTCAAATAAATTGCTTCTATATAATATATTGTTCGATTATAATTTTTGTACAAAAAAAAAATTCTTATAATTTGAAAAAAATTCAGGGATTTTATTGCACAATTGGCTATAATATCCCATTCATTCGCAGTTGCATTATGCGAAAGCTATTTGCATTGGTCCTTGTGAGCGCGGGCGAATGTATGAATACGAGATGGTGACAGCAGCATCAAAACTTTTTTAGGCGAAAAAAATTCAAAAGAAAAAGCGTCGATGCAGCTCTCGTAAGAGAAAATGGGGAAGGATAATGCAAAGAGGGAAAAATAGGGAAGATTTTCCTATATCTATATACATATATAGAAAGAGGGGGGCGCCTGCATTGCATGCACTTGTGGGTTTATACAACTTTTGGCGCGCACATTTTGCAATTGGCGAGCGATAACGAAAATCTCTCTTCTTCCGTACTTGGCACATGAGAGAGTGAGAGAGAAAGAGAGATTTTCTCTATATATATATCCTGCGATTTCAATATGATTTTATGACGTGTATTATACTTATGGCGAAAAATCCACTTCGAAGGGGGGAAAATTTATGTTGATATCGAGAAAAGAGCGAAGAATTTATGGCACGGATCTTTGCCCCCCCCCCTTTTTTTTAAACCTTTTATTCGGCAAAAAGGCTCTTTCACCAAATTCATTGAAAAGACAAGTAATTTTTTTTTAAATTTAATTTTTGTAATTTGAAGAATTGAATTTGTATGATTTTAATTTATGATTATACAATTATTCTCTTGTTTAAAGGCATATATACATAACATCATAAGGAACACCCGGCTGCCTAATGAAACTACAAATCTCTTGCCCTTATAGGCAAGTCTTAGCTCGTTCTATATATATATGGAGAACCGGGATTATTTCGTCGTATATATAACCCATAGTTATGCTCATTAAATTAAAATACAATTCATGTTTATACGTTTATAAATATATTGTAATTGTTACTATACATTTTAACAAAAAAAAATTTCTTTTTTTCACATTCGCACTTGTACTTTCACTTTCTTTTACGATTTTACTACATTGTTTTATGTTAGGTTAGTAATTATTCGGTTAGGAAATGTTAGGTTAGGTTAGATTAGGAATTATTCGGTTAGGTTAGGAATTATTAGGTAAGGTTAGAAATTATTAGGTTAGGTTAGGTTAGAAATTATTATGTTAGGTTAGGTTAGGAATTATTCGGTTTGGAATTGTTAGGTTAGGAATTATTAGGTTAGATTAGAAATTATTAGGTTAGGTTAGGTTAGGTTAGGAATTATTCGGTTAGGTTAGGAATTATTAGGTTTAGGTTAGGAATTATTTGGTTAGGAATTCTTAGGTTAGATTAGAAATTATTCGGTTAGGTTAGGAATTGTTAGGTTAGGAATTATTAGGTTAGGTTAGTTTAGATTGGTTACTCTTGACATGGAATGACCTATATATATATTAGAATTTTAGTTCTGATTTTAACCTCAAACCCACAGACGAATTGACGTGGAACGACCCATATATCTACCTATATTAGTATTAAAACGAACATAACCTCAAAATTCAAGGTCCTAGTTCTCCAGGATACAAACTCCTGAATCAAACATAACCTTAAAATTCAACGCCATATAGGGTTCCTGTATTCAAGGTCAGAGATCAAACATAACCTCAAAATTCAAGGACATATGTCAAGGGACCGTTGGGTTTGAGGCTATGTCCGACAAACATAATTTCAAATTTCCCTAATCAAGAAACGCACATAACCTCAAAATTTAGATAAAATTTCAATGCAAGCCTTTAAAAAATTAATTATTATTAAAGTGCAAAATAATTGGGATTATATAGAATACAGAAAAAAAATATTTTTTAGAAATGTGCGTTATAATGAGCATATATTATATGTTTATTGTCCTGATGAAATAAGAGTCATATTTATTTGTATATGCACTTGCAGTGATGGTGAAAACGATCTCGTAATTTGAGAGAGAGAGAGAGAGAGAAAGAGAATATTTAACCTACGCTCACACATTGCCAAAACCAAAGAGCCTGCAAGTATTATACATATAGAAACGATATAAAGGCCTATAGCGGCTCAAGAATATAATATTAGGGGTTCTTTGGGGGCGACCCTTTCCCTTTTCTCTTATATAAGGGTTGGTCTCGGGCTGCCGCTTTACATTGCATAAGTAACGCTACGAAATTTCATCTCCCTCTTCAATGAAATAAACCCACCTACTATACTCTCTCTCTCAACTCTAAACTACTGCTTATTTGCTTCTACTATATATAACAGAATATCAAGACTATTTGTCGAGCCTCTCTCACAAGTACACGACTCTAAGTGTATACCCAAATTCACTTCGAGAAAGATACAACATCCTCCTTATAAAATTAAGTGCTCCATTTATTTATTCTACACAGTTTTTAATTTTTTTTGCATTTTTTTTTTAGAATAACAGTATATAAAAAAATAATAAACTGTTTACCTAAATAAATAAAATAAATAAAATAAATAAAATAAATAAAATAAATAAAATAAATAAAATAAATAAAATAAATAAATAAAATAAATAAAATAATGATTCATACCCTCATAACAAAAGGATATTCCTAGGATATCCATAAGATATCCCTATCAATGGTCGATATCCTAGAATGGTCCCCAGGATATTTTGGGATATCCCTAGGATATCCAAACCGCCGGTCTGTGGAACATCAACAGGACATCCATAGGATATCCACAGGATATCCCTAAGACATCCAAAAAATATCTATTGGATATTATATCGCAGGATATCCATGGGATATCCTCAGGATGTCCGTGGGATATTCTTAGAATATTCACGGGATATTTAATATCTCAACATATATTTTTAAAGGTTAAAATTGTTAATAAGCTAATATAATGAATAATAATATAATAAAAACAAAAATCTTATGAGCTTCTAATTTATTTTAAATGAAGATTTGAAACGCATTTTTCAAAGTTTTTAAATAAACTCATGCACTTAATGTATAATTAATATTAATAGTTATTCATTATTTGCGGGGAAGAATTTATATTGTTTAAAGCCAATTTATTTTTTGACAATATTAACCATATGAATAAAGGAATGAATCACGAATGAGAAAAAAATTAGTTAATAATTTTTCAAATTAAACAACTTTCTCGAAAAACAAGTTGCATTTTTATTTTATTTATATAAAATTTAATTCACAGAATATTCTCACTCGTATAGTGCTCATAATAATGACTTTAAAAACAGTATCCTGAGAATATCTTCTTGACATCCAGAAGATATACTGAGAATATTCTGAAAATATCTGTGGGATATTCTAACGATATCTATGGGATATCCTGATGATATCTGTGGGATATCCTGACGATATCTATGGGATATCAGGAGGACATTTATGAAAGTCTATAGAGATATCCAGATGATATCCTGTGGATATCCTCAGATATCCATGGGATATCCAAACCTCCGATTTTTTGGATATCCTTAAGAGATCCTTTTGATATCCATAGGACATCCCTAGGATATCTGCGGGATATTATCAATATATCCCAAGATATCTTGTGTTATTAGGGCAATATTATTTGATAAATAAAATACTTTATTACAATATTAAATGCAATGAAAAAGATACAAAGATCGCGTATGATATAGTATATTAAAGAATAATTAGAAATGCGAAATAATTTCACCAATTTCGCTACAAGCGGCGAGGCGTGCGTTTATTTTTTTAGTAGGCGACTCTCCGCGACTTACGCGCCAGTTTGAATTTGTCAAACTATCGAATGTCCGCGAAATTCAAATTGAATGTGCTAATATTAGAAGGGAAAACCATCAACAACAACATTTTTAATTAATAATAATAATTAAAATTATTTGGGTCATAACAACCTGGAGCAGCGATATGTTTCACTAAAACAGCAAAATTTATCGCTATTCCAGAGAAACATATCGCTGTTCCAAATAAAATTTTTTTTTCGTACAAATTAAATAAATAAAAAATAATTGTTTTTTAATTTCCTTAGAATTAATTAAATAAAAGATTATAGTTTTTTTTTTTAAGAAACAATAATTCAACAGTAAATTGAGGATTTGTTAATATCAAAAATTAATAGAAAATACACTGGAAAAAGATTTATTTATAAAAATAAATAAATTATATTGAATGATAAAAAAAAATAATTGATTGGAAATAGCGCAGATGTTTACCTTTTCAGGTGAGAGAAAATTGAATGTGACGTGTGTGTCTTGTAAAAAAAAAAGAGAAAAATCAAAATCTGTTGACAGATGTCTTATATTTTGAAATCCATATATGTATGTTCAGTGGACTTTACATTTGGAGAAAAGGACAAGGACAAGCATAATTGAGAAATTCGATTCAGACACGGTTTATTTCTCTAAAGGCGTTACCACTCTCTCTCTCTCTCTCTCTCTCTCTCTCTTTCTCTCTCTTTCTCGACAGGTGAATATTATTAGAATTGCGAATTCGACAAGGATATCTTATTCACTTGAATGTCCCTCAATATAATAAAATTTTGTAATTCTTCAACATCCCCTACAGTAGCTACTATTCAAAATTCACATTAAAGAATATTGCTGCTTGAATTGGCAAAATTAATTAAAAAATTATTTCATAATTTTATTTCCACTTTAGTTATTTATTTTTCATTTTTATGTATTTTTTTTTATTTATTTTTTTAATTTTCATTTATTTTTGCTACACATGGAAAAATTCGTGAAATTATTTACATTTCACTTAAAACAATAAATAGATATTTTTTTCTTCTTTTTTATATCGAAGTAAAAATTGAGCGATAGTTTTATATATGTATATATATAGAACGCCAGAAGGTAGGCAACCGAACCACCGAACTGCAGGGATAGTAGCTCGGGTAGATTCGACAGAGACAAGTGTTTGTCAAATGTTTGATCAAAATGTTTGTTATTTCCGCATACATTGCAGTTGAAATTAAATGCGATGCCGAATTGCCAATATCGTTAAGTGTATGCATTACTATCGAGTCGTCATCATCAAATCAAAGGCAAATCAAACAGCAATGTAAAAAAAAAGTGTATATGTATATATAAATATAAACTTGATAAAAAATTATTCTATGCTTTTTTAATTTTTATATTATATTTCAAAAGTAATTGAATAAAAAATAACATTTGATTTCACGATAAGTAATATTTTTTCATATTAAAAATAAGAAAATTTATTTAATGGAATGATATCCTTCAACTTTTAATTTTTGGTCGCCATATTGGATCCGCCATTTTGAATTTTTAAAAAGTGACATCGGATTCGTAATCAGTGACCCCGAAAACTGCCGAGTAATGATTTTCGAGTGAATACGATGAATTTTAAACTTTTATAGTCCGCCATATTGAATCCGCCATTTTAAATTTTTTATTTTTGACTCCAGATTTGAATTCAGCGAAAAAAAAAATTTTATCTGACAAAACAAATGACTTTTCTACTTTAAAAATAAAAAAAAAAAAAATTATCCAATAAATCAATAATTATTCTACTTAAAAAAATATTTTTTGTCTGCCAAAACAATACGTTTTCTATTTAAGAAATAAAAAAAAAAAATGTCTGTCAAAACAATTTCTTTTCTACTTAAAAATAAATTTGGTTTGACAAAATAATGCATTTTTAATTTAAAAATAATTTTTTTTTTTGGTATAGAACAATTTTCTACTTTTTAAAAAACATAAATTTTATCCATGCTTTTTCTACTGAAAAAAAAATATTTTTTTTAAATATATGTCTGATAAAGCAATAAATTTTCTACTTAAAAATTGCCTATTTTTATATATAAAAATTTTAATTTCATCAGAAATTTCCTCTAATTTTCGGATTTTTAAATAATTTTTTCATTTTGAATTTAATTAATTTTTTAAATTTTTAAACAAAAATGAAATAATTTTTTTAAAACTCCAATAACTTGATAATTGTGAATAAATAAAAAAAAAACATTGTTAAATTAATATTCATTCGTTCAAATAAAAATTCGATAATCATATGTCAATTTATTTCTACAAACATATATATATCGTATTGGAAAAATATTTTACAATAATATATATATATATATATATATATATGTGTGTAAATCGTATTCAAGAAATGATTGACAAGTTTTTTCTATTCTCTATTATAGAATCTATTTGTTATAATTTATAATCGCGAAAGACGCGTGACATTTGTGTATATCAATTATGTATTTGTATATTGTCAATATATATACATATATATAATTATAGTCTGTAAAATATTTCTTGTTTATATTTGAATCTCTTTTAACATACAAATTAATTAATTGAAAAAAATGAGTGACAAGATTTCAAATTAAAGAATGAACATTTTTACCTTTCGAAAACATATATATATAGTGTTTGAAAGGCGTTTTTGATTAACGTATATTATTCGGATCGTCACGGTCACCTATTGTGATCTGTTTCACGCGTATATAATACAAGAACTTGCTGACCAGTCTTATATAGACATCAAAAAATAACAATAACAATAATAATAATAATAATAATAATAATAATAATAATAATAATAATAATAATAATATGTTGACCTTATTGACGTGTGTGTACGTGTCAAAAAATTTTGAAGATCAAATTTTTTTTTTTTTTTTTTAAATTAAAGAATGACGGACCAATTGAGAGTATGATAAGAACATGTCATATTTATAAATGCATCTTCATCTTTTCTGACAATATTATGATCACACTTTATTTTTTCACTTATAAATATATTATACCTGCATTGACTATATATACTTTATATATATAACTCTCTCAACTAAAATTATACTTCTATTGTCGAATTTGTCCTTTCACAATCTAGATTTGAAAAAAGGGTTAAAGAGCTCTTTTCAAATGTTAAAATGTCTTGACATTTGTAGCAAAGATATTTTTTTTTTTTTTTTTTTTGTTAAATTGTCAATTAAAAAATTTTTTAAATCAGAATTAAAAAAAAATTAATTTCGATATTTACTTAACGTTTTTTTTATATTTTTTATCAATGCAAAAAATATGTGGGTTTCTCTTTAAATTTAAATTAGTGAGAATTTGTTTGTTAATTTCAATTAGTAAAAATTTCTATTCATTTTTAGTAGTTTTTTCTTTTTTAAGTAAAAATTTAAGTTAAAAAAATATTACTCAATTTAATACTGATATAATGATACTAAAATAGTACTAAAATAGTAGAAAAATAATATTAATATAATACTAAAATGTAGTAATTTCTATACTAATTTCTAGTCATTTTTCACTAAAACTTTAGTTGAAAAAAAATATTACTAAATCAAATACTACTAATAGTATACTAAAAATTACTGAAACTTTTGACTAATATTTATTTTAGTTACTTTTCACTAAAAATTTAGTTAGAAAGTAAATTACTAAATCAAATACTATTAACAATAACAATAATAAAAATAATAATAAAATAATAATAATAATTATTGAAAATTTCTACTAATTTGTAGTCATTTTTCACTAAAAATTTAGTAAAAAAAAATATATTACTAAATTAATTTCTACTACTAATACTAATAATACTAAATAACACTCTAAACCTGAATTAGTGAAAAGTGACCTACTAATTTAAATTAGTGAGAATTTTTTCTAATTTTTACTCACTTTTTACTAAAATTTTAGTCAACAAATTTTAAGCAACTAAATCAAATAGTAATATTTTACTAAAAATTAGTAAAAATTCTTACTAATGCAAATTAGCAGGTCACTTTTCACTAATTGAAATTTAGAGAGAAAACTAAAATAATAATAATAATGATAATAATAATAATAATACCTAATAATAATAACACGGAAAAAAAATTTTATCTGGAACAGCTATATGTTTATCTAGAGTAGCGAAAACTTTCGCTATTTTAGTGAAACATATCGCTGTTCCAGTGAAATTTATCGCTGTTTTAGGTGAAGATTCCTTTCCGTAAATAATACTAAAAATGAGTTATACTTTCTACTAATTTAAATTAATTAACGAATTTAGATTAAATTTAATTGCAAAATATTTGAAATATTTAAAATAATAATATAAAATAAATAATTTTAACAGTAAAATTTATGAGTCAAACGAAACAACGCTTCCTGTCGATATACTTTCCCTTTTACAGATACGTATATATAAATGTGTATGCGTGTATATATATATATATATATATACACACACGTTAGGCCTCTAGGATTTCCTTTGAGAAAAAAAATCATACTGCATATATATATATGGAAGAAGAGAGTCGTTATGGCTTTTTCATATATGTCTTTGTTGAAAGAGCGACGACGTATCGAATGGTCGATTTTCCAGATGAATTCACTCGCCTCATTTTCTTTTGTCGGGCACTTATGCTCACCTGCTCTGACGAATAAATCTCATGTTTTCAATCCTCTATAACCACTCAACACACAGATATACATATATATATATATATATACGTATATATACCTTTTCGATCCCAAGTAAACAAGTTTCTCGTATCTGGCGCGATTTTACGTTCAACGATGTTTTTTTTTTTACTCTTTGCACACCTTTTTGACTTTTCCATCGTCGGTCAAGATCAAAGTACAAACCATCCAAATATTAAAATTAAATTTTTTTTTTTTTATTTCTATACAGAAATTACAAATTTAATATAATATGTAAATGTACGTAATAAATTTTTTTATACGATATATTTCTATATCGATTTCTCTTTTGTATATTATATATATATATATATATATATATATATATATGTATATATATGATTATCGAAAACAGAGGATATTGTGAGGGCTGTTTGTCAGAGATAAATAATCCCTTTGACTGACAGCCCTTATATATGAAAATTCAAGTGTTTGACTAATGGATGAAAGACTTCTATATAGTATAGAAGAGGTGTAAATCCAACTCTTTCTATATTGTCATTCAATTTTCGTTTTGACATTATACCATAAGTCTTAATATATTTGTCAACATGTATTAATATAGAGAAAAGTTAAATTGGAAACATTTGTGCGATACATATATATATATATGTATAATGCGAAACAGTTATTTTTATTCCTCGTGTGGAAAAATTTCTGATTATAATAACGACAGTTGTTAGTAAATAATAATAATGTTAATGCAAAAAAACAGTAAGTACATACAGTACTGATTTAAAATTGGCAAAATTAATAAAAAATACAGTAAGTACATAAAGTACTGGTTCCTTACTGACACCGTTACTACAAAATATAGTAAGTACATATATACTGTACTGCTTCAATACTGACAATAATAATAAAAAAAAATATACAGTAAGTACATGTATATATAGTATTGGTTCATCACTGTCAGCGTTAATTCAAAATACAGTAAGTACATACTGTACTGCTTCAATGCTGGCAACGTTAATAAAAATTACAGTAAGGACATATACTATATTACTTTAATACTGTCAATATTAATTTAAAAAATATACAGTAAGTACATAATGATAAAATAATATACAGTAAGTACATAGTGTATTGGTCCAACACTGTGGCAATATGATTAAAGAATATTGTGTTTTAGTGGGTCGGGGATGGTAGTAGTTCGCCAGCTTATTTTGTTTAGTGTTGCTTTTTTTTACCAACCCCAACATAATCTTGGCATGCGGAAGCCATGGTATCTGTATACAGATTTCCCAAAAGTCCTTAAGCAAAAAAAAAGTACAAGTTTATTACTATAAAAAAATACAGTAAGTACATACTGTACTGCTTCAATACTAGCAACGTTAATAAAAATTACAGTAAATACATACTGTATAATACTGCTTTAAAACCTACAATATTAATAAAAAATATGCAGTAAGTATATACTGTACTGGTCCATTACAGGCAGCGAGAGTAAAAAATACCATAAGTACATACAGTATTGGTTCAATGCTGATTGTATATTAATAAAAATATAACACTCACTCAAAAGTGGAAATATTAATAATAGTTTAATACTGGCAGTATAATTACAAAATCAGTAAGTACATAAAGTACTGTTTTGATATTACAAATTTT